AGTAATATCTTTTATTAGATCATACGATATAGTCAGGAAAAAGAGTCAAGCCTTGGGCACACAAAACCTTCTGGAAAACTTGTCTGACTTTTTCAATTACATTGATATTAACTCTACCTGCAAATCCCGCTTTGCTTTGGCTACTTCCAGCCACCACAAACGTCATCTCTGTAGGTGATCACCTCTCTACATTTGAGGGGGTTTTTCACCCCCATTCTCCTGCGGTTTGCTGGAGTATTTTTTGCTGTCGGGCCAACAAGGCAAGAGTAATTACTGTATTTATCACACACTGCTTCATCTCACTTATTTATACCTTTTCACCGCTTTCAGGCTGGTTTGCCCGAAACCATGCAGCAAAGCTGGGAGCACCAGGAGGCAAACCCTCACTCATGACTCCTGGCCTTTGCTTTAACCACCTGGAAATATTTTCTCCCTTTTGGGCCAAAAGCTGTGAGAAAATCCTGCTAACAATAGTGAGGGAGAACTGCTTAATATCCTTATATATTAGAAGGTCTAAATCCAGGTCTTACTTGCAGTCTCACAAATAAATCTTTAATTTTACTATTGGGAATGTATTACAGCCCTAGTAATTTTTATACAGAGGAAAGAGATTAGGAGACATTTTTGTCCTCACATAGATGGATTACTTTGCTCTGTTCTTGACCGTCTCAAAACCTTAAAGAGATAATGACAAGTTTGCTAAACTCCTTCCAGGAATTATCTAATCTTTAAGTATTTTTCAAAACAAGACAAAATAACACACTAAATGAAAATGTTTCTCTTCTTCTCAGTTGAACTGAAAACTGAAAATGTTCAGTTAATATTTTTGCCTAAAACCAAAAATTATTGGGGAAAACTGTACAAATTGCAAGATGTCACACTGCTCCAAAACCAAAGCACTGAAATAGGAATTTTTCTTCATTTATTCCATAGCTGAAACAATAAAGATTTCACACAAATTTAAGTATTGTTTCAGTCAAATCAAATGGGTATTTTTTGAGAAAAAAAAAGCCCAACAACCAAAACATATGCAATATTTCACCCATGTAATCGTTCTTCTCCAGTGGTGATCTGCCAAGAAGTGATGCTAGACTATGGGCAAAAAGATCCTACAGGACTGGAGGGCTTCTACAGCAACAGGGCAGAGTCCTGAAAACAGAAAAATCTTAGTTTCTGTGTCCAAAAGCTACAGGAGGATATGTTTTGTGTGACATTTGTTAAAAAAAAGTCATCGCCTTTACATCTGCTGAGAAAACACTCTTCTTCCCGGTAGTCTCTTTATGAGCCATGCAAATGGTGCTTTGCAGAGCTAGAGGCAGAGATGTACAGCGGTAACTATTTTTAGACCGCAAATTCTCAGAGATTTTAAAAGGGCTTTTGCATATGGAAAGTAAAAAAAAAAAGAAACGCAAAGTATTTCAGGAAAAGGATAAAATGATTCATAGACAGTTATAGAGCAGAAGGGAGGGGTAGGTGCTTTTATCTTCTGTTGACAGGGTTGCTAGCGGGAGCCTCAGCGCCCGCGGGGAGGGCACGGCGCACGCCTCCCACTGCCCCACGGGGTCCCTTGCGAGCATCACCGAGCAGCTCCCTCAAGGATGAGAGGGAAAACCACTACATCAAAAAACCACTACATCACCTGCTCTTCCAGAGGCTTGATGGGACAGTATGGCAGCCCCCCCGCTCCTCTGTTTCGCCCGCCACAGTCGTTTCTCCCTGCACTGATCGCCTTGCCTGGTCTGTCGGACACCCGGTGTGAGACGTACGAACGAGCAAAGAAGGAAGTTTGTGCTCCAAGATGACTCTGATATGATAGATGGTGGCCAACAACACTGAAACCCTCTGCAGAGGGCTTTCTGGCTCCCTCCCAATGCACGCAACGTCTTGATGGGCAAAAAAAAAAAGCTCAGAGAACGAGCGTTGTGCCTGTTTACAAACAGAGTTTGGCATTCCAAGTCACAGAAAAATTTCTGCTAGCTTCTTTGGTAGCAGAAGCGCGCTGGAGCAAAATCAGCACTGGAGACAAAAATACTCAGACATCGCCTTTACCTGATTTTTGATTAACCTTGCTCAGTGGTGGCTGTGGGACTGCCCGGGGAGCTCAGACCTCTGTCGCACCATGTACCAAAATCAGACGGCACCTTTTGCGGGTCTTAATGCTTCCCCACACACCTGGGTCACTTTAGACCTATCTGTATATGTCACCCAGATTGGCAGCAGATGCATTTGTTGACGATATTACGTTGGCTGATGAAGTCGTATGTCCTTGCACCTTTATTTTATGTTTGTCTGCTTCCTTTGATACACTGTTAATAAGGTGTTTTGTTACTGCTGGGGGTGAAAAATGACTATGTTTATGCATGTTTATCTCTCTTTTAAAGGAAGATGAAGGGTAACTGTGATGACCCAGGTAAATACTGGCTGCTTAGCCTGGCATTAATCCTAGCAAAATACAGGCAAACGCAATGGGATTCAATTGACTAAGAACTAAAGAATATGAATATAATTAACGCCAGCCAAAACGGTCTTAGGGAAAGTGGATCTTGTCAGACTAACCTGATTGTCATTCTTTGACGAGATTACAGGTTCGCTTGAAAAAGTTGGGTTGAACAGATGTAATATACCTAGACTCCTGAAGGGCGTTTAACGTACTACCATGGGTTACCCGATTGCAAGAGCAGCAATACACAACATCAGCAGACTACAGCATACATGGATTAAGAACCTGCTACCGACACCTCAAGTATTTGTCATTGGGGGAATCAGGATGAATAGAGGTGTTTCTAGCTGCGCGCAACAGGGACTGACAGCAGCTTCAATACTATTCAACATTTCTAACCAGAACCAGGAAGTTAATTTAAAAATAACAAAAAAAAATTCTGGATGATACAGAAACTGGTGAACCAGCAAACAGTGGGAAAACAGGGCAGCCAAAGCAATCTGGATCACTTAGTACATGAACAGAGCCAAATACAAAGTATGTATGTCCAGGAAGAAATGGGCACAGAATGAGCAGCTCAGCTGCATGACCGATGGCCAAATGACCAGGGCAACCGCGGGCAGGAACAAAGAGACTATTCACCTTTGCTCAGGTAGATAGGAACAACATACTGCACGTACTTCCAGTTCCCAAATTTTGAAGAAATGAGCAGAGAGGTGAAAAGAACCGCAAAGAAGGATTCAACTCATTTTAAACAGTTTAAAAAAGAGTTCTAAACAGCTCTGTTTGCTTAGTTTACCTACCTAAGATGGAAATTAAGTCAGCTTTCATTCTGTAAGTAGCTTCATCTGGAAAAAGCACCCAGTCCTATACAGCACTTCATTTAGTGGAGCAAAGCATAAAAGTCAATGGCTAGAAGCTGATTTCAGGCAGGGAATAAGGCACGCATTTTCACCACTGGAGTCAAGTGTCAGGGTAAGAGGTAGAGCCACTGCTCACCAGAGTCTGCAACTCAGGACTGGCGGCCTTCTGAGCTATCACTTGAGTCAAATGTAAGTTATGCTTTAGTCAAAGTCAAAAAGATTACTGGGTTCAATATAGCTGATTGCATGAAAGCTGTAGGTCAGATTATAGACCTTAATGATCATTTTTAGTCTTACACACCTGAAGCTAGGACTCAACAGGAGCTGAAGTCCACACGATTCCCTTTGTCACACTGAGCTTCCATGTGATATACAAACCACTGCTGAATCCAGCGAGTGTACGAGTTATGGCGACTCTAGGTTTTGGGAGGGGTGAGGGAAATACGCTAGATTTTGGGTTTTCTCTGCACTGAACAATGTTGGTTATGGGATTTGCTGGTACCACCTAGGGACCAATGCACAACAGAAAAACGCAATGTAATACAAATAATTCATAATACATCACTGACAGCTGGGGAGAAGAATGATGAAGACTACTGCTTGCTTTTTGCTCAGACTTTGCAACTGCACACACATATTCGGACAGTGGTTGCTGCCTTCTTCCTTTCTGCATAGTTAGCAGCTTTGGAGTATTTTCTCTCTTGCAGCCCATGCTAAATGGCTTTTCTGCCATTTAGGCATTAGTTCAGTGAACTTTGCATGGATCTACCCTAAGCACCTCAAACTTTAGCTAGCAAAGGTGCAGCTCCCTAGCATTTATAGATGCGTCAGAGATGTGTTGTATACTTATTTTCCTTGCTAAATTCCAGTTTGCTTTTAGTACTATTATTTGAGGTGCATTTTTACCTGTGCTTAAGGTTTAGAGGATATAGGTCCAAGATACTTTGCTCTCATCCGACACCACTCTTCAAGTATGTCAGTACACCTTAACAGTGAAAAGTCCTAAGTTTAAAGGGGCACGAGAAGTTTTTCACAGAGGGTGTTTCTATTAGGTGGGCTTTTCCTGTCTGCTTTCTCTCCCCCAGTGGCAGCTAGGTATTGCTGAACTGGAGAACCTGCTGCCAAGTTTTTTTTCAGGTAGTATTTGAAGATGAATGGGAGGAGATGTATTTATGCTTCTCACTGAGCTAACAGCAATTTAAGAGATACTGTTCAAGGCAAAAGCCAAATCTATTTTGCTTAAAAGTATGGATGTAACTTTGAATAGTTTCTTTAAGTAACCAAAAAAGGAACCCCAAAAGGGAATTGGGTTTATAAGCTGCAACATTGCTTAAAGCACAATACAGATAATTAGGTACAAAAGCGCATGTTTGAAATTTCCAAGACAAATCACCTGATGTTTGGAATTTGGGATTACAAGTACATCCCATCCTCAACACAGCTCATTAGTCAATGATTTGTATGGATGAGTATCAGCACATAATTTTCCAGTAGGCACAGCTATCGGAATTTTGGATGGAGACAAATTCCAGTGTTTAGTATGACTACAACCTTCAAAGACAACTAGAACTTAGAACAAACTATTAGGCAAGCTGTTTTTATCACTGACTGACAATATTATATGGCAGGAGATTATTTACCTGGAATGCTCTCCAATTTTCTACGAAGTTCCTCATTTTCTTGTTGCAATGAAATTACCTCCTGCTCTAGCTCTTGACACCGAGGGCAGTAACCTTCTTCCTCTTCCTCCTCTTCCTCTTCTGGAAGTGTAGAAGACGATGGGTGACCATGAGATTCAGATGTTGCTGGAGATGTCCATCCACCTAAAGTGTGTACTGGAGAGGTTGAAAGTGGATCCACATCTGCCAAATGGCTAAAATCATTTACTGATGAGGTGTTCTGAGAAGGGAAGCTCCCAGAAAGCAAATAGTTCTGAAGGGAATCGGTAAAAACTCTCAGAAAGGCTGAGGTTTGTTGTTTCTTTTGCATATACTGCATCTCTATGTCTAAAATGTCTGATGTCTGACTATGGACCATTTTCCCAAGCTGACATTGCTCTTGTCTTTCACTATAATTTGGGTTTTCCTGCTTTATACAGGAAATCATGGACTGAGAGTGATTGTTGTCCAGTAGTTTTCCACCACAATTTAAGAGACTTAGAACCCGGCTGCATTGTTGGGCAAAGGCATCCAGAATCATTCGACTCTCTGAAACAAAAGAAAAGATGAATCACAGAAACCTAATGCAAAAGGTTATGCCAGTCAGTAGCAGCTAGATGAATGTACACAACCCTTTACAGTAGCATGCATTTTATTTCTGAACACATTAAAATTATGGCTTCTGCTTTAATACTTCTGCAACACTGTGATTTAAAACAATCCCGACTTTGCTTCTATTTTGAGAGTGCCCTTGTGCCCTTGCTGTTAATCAGAAATGCATTGTGATGATAGTCACTGCTTACTGCCATCTTCTTTCAGAGGGATTAAGACAGGAAAATGGGGAAGAAAACACAAATTCCATCCAATTTGCTACAAGTACAAGTTCAAGTAAGTATTTCTCTGGAAGCCTGTTTCAGGCTGCTGGTGGGCACTGCCTGTACATTTTCGCAGGACTTTGCACTACACCTTCTTCCTATGCCCTGCTCCTCTCCAACAAGGCTTCCAGGTGTTGTTTTTTCTCCCTTCCATCTTTACTGCTCTTGCTTGACACTGGGCATGGGACACTTCGTGTGACCCACCCCCAATTTTATGGACTTTGCTTCTGTTCCTTTTGCTTTAGGTTCCAGGAATGTCCAAGAACAACTCAAGAATGATAAGCACAAAACCCTCTTCTTACATCAAAGAAAGGCATCAAATGTACAATGTGAAGCTCCTGTGATCAGAGGAGGAATTTTTTCTGTCCTGCTGACCTCCTATAAGTTTGTGGATAGGCCAATATCATGCAGTGGAGAGCAGTGCAGAGTTCTTCAGGCTGCTCTGGATATAATCAGAAAACTCTACGTGGGGCTGTGCAGCAGTTTCTGGAGGCAGCAGCTCGGCTCTGGAAGCAGGATAAGGATGCCAAGCTGCACCTAGTCAGCCTCGCCTCTAATGATGGGAGGTGTCACGTCTCAGGGAGCAATAGCAGCTACAACCTAAACCTCCATAGTAGGATGGTTCATTTCTGAGTGTCTATGTATGTAGCGCCAAGCTGCTGTAACGGTTCTTGGACCCAGATGGAAAACGACCAAGACACTTGGCTCTGATTTACGGTATGACCTGTTAGGTTCCCTGACAAAAATAATGCCTTTTAAAAAATTTTTAGCTTATTCATAGCTGAGTTCCTCTAGGTACCTAAAAAGATGTAACTAACATTCTGCATGAGATTAAAAAAAAAAAAAAAAGAGTGGTAGATTTAAGCGCTGCCAATTTTGGAGAGCTCTTCTCAGGCAGGCTTGACTTTTAGAAAGTGACAAACGCATTTACTTTTGAAAAGGCAACCTGCTACAGATGCATGAGACTAAGCACCCCAGATCTTCATCTATCCTAACTTCATCATTAGAGACGAAAACATAGCCTCATCACACTGATAATACGTAAAGAACAGAAACGTTCAGAATTCAGTCCTTTAAGAGGTGGCACTTCTCATGGTACTTCTCCATGATCCAGAAGATACACCTGGTGGAAAATATACTTCATGCTGAGGTTAGTACAGCTGGCCTGAAGAATATTTGAAACAACATTAATTTGCATTTTTACCATCCTCCGGATCTCTGCAAAGAGGGCAGGGCTGAAGCAGCATACAAATGCTTTCAGTCTCGAACGCAGCCTGAGGAGACTTCCCAGCACAAAACCCGAGGACGTGATCTCCCGAGGACTCAAATGTAAGAACAGGGACGTGAGGCGGACAGAACAATCACAGGCGCAGCGCTGGGCTACAAGGCTGCCCAGGGCCAAGCAGAGACAGCCCACCGGCACGGGAAGGATTGGGGTGGCCTTAAGACCACGTAAAGCATCCTCGCAATCAGTCTCCTGTGCTAACGAGTCGTACCACGCCCTTGTAGACGGGCTCAGACGAACCAGGGCAGATTTCTCCAGCACATCTTTGATCCAAAACGTTAGGCGATGCCCTCTGTCCACATTACAAACCCAAAAGGGCAGACACGCACAGGCACTGCCGCCCCCGTTTGCAAGTGGGTGCCGGTGCCAGGTGCTCTGTAGCCTCCATACCTGCTGTCCCTCCTTCCCTTTTACTGCATTAACCGAAGCCCAGCTGTCTTTAACCCTTATGATGCAAGTGCAAAATAACCCAGCACAACAGATGTAATACAAATCAAAAGCACGGAACCCCGGTAACATTGCAGCTTTCTAGCTGGGACCTACTGATAAACCAAAAGAAAATCAAGAAACTCAAGCATCACTAGCAACCTTAAGTTGTGCTTTCTTTGCCTTACTTCTTTACTTCCCACATTTTCCCTTTAAAATTATTACAATATGGTATTGATTGGAACTTTGCAATCCTACTACAGAGCAGTTTTTCGTTCATGTTAATCCTATAATCCGATTCCAGACCTGAAGTCATATTTACTGTTTGTATTTTAATCATTATGGTCCCTGTTGACAAAACAGTTACTCATTCTTTGCGTATCCTTGTTGCAAGGGGACAAAATATGAATGAAACAACTGAAAAGGGGTTAGATTAGTATAGGATATGCTATTCTAATACCATGGTTTCTCCTAAAATATGGCAAAAAGTAATCTGACATTTCAAGTATCAGTTCTGAAGAATACTATAATACACACTAACATCAGTAAAAATAAAAATAATTATTAGTTTTGTTGTAAATTGAATGCATTAGGCACATTCACTGTGATAATGGCTTAAAATGTAACTGAAATTTTATACAGAAATGACTATTGATTTAATTTGCAGTTCAGTATCGTATCTACTACAAAGACACAATGAGAGCAGCTACTGCTTTTTTCTTCACTTTAACCCATACTCAAAGATATAAAAGTGAAAGCCATGACAAGGCAGGGCTATTTTGAAACGCTAGCAGAAAGATGCGCAAATGCTTTTTTTGTGGGTACCGCTGGGCAGCAATAGCGAGGGATGCTCTCAGCACACATTCTGGAAACATCTGGCTCTGTGCTGAAGTGGGTACCACATTGAAGTGACTTCTACACCAGTAATGGTACCCACAGCCTGAACAACCCTAAATGAGAATGATAGCTGCAGTTATTTCTTGTGATGGAGAAAAAAATAAAAACAAATGCATATATCGTAGAAATTGGGATTTCAGCTTTTACAGACTGACTGTAATTAGAAATGCAAGCACTGTGCAATGTCTAATCACTAAGAAATGACGAGTTGTTTTTATGTGATTACTACTGAATAATCACTGATCTATGATTCTTAATTGATTTAATGTAATGTATGTATTTTCTAGGAAAGGAGGATTCTATTGAAATGACTTCACCAGACTAAACCATTGTAAACAGTTTATTAAAGTCTTATTGTGATATTCCTTTTCCTTATTACGATGCTCACCAACCATGTAATTCTAATGTCTCAGACCCCGCAGTCTTTCGTATAACAGAACTTCTATCGACTTTAACTAGACTTTTGCGTGAAGGCAGACGTGCCAGATCAGGCCCATAAAGTGCTAAAAGAGCAGGATTAAATTGCTAAAAGTATAAGTATTCCTAACTAGATTATTTGAGAGTGCAAGCAACCAGAAGATAATATCAATGGCAAATCAGGTACCAACTCCTGGATATAGCATTCATCTTTACATCTTTTTCTCATGGATGCTGAACTATGGGGCTTCTTAGCTATCCAACTGCCAGACTGAAAACAGGGTTTTAGTAAGAGTAAACTTCTGAAACTCAACCTGACAACTTACACTGATGCATCAGAAGAGATGTCCGGAAAGGTTGGCAGGTATAACATCAGCTTTTCCTACATCTGAGGATCTTTGCAATACCTAGACCAGACAGCTTTATTAATAAGGCATTGTGTTGGGTCTCAATGGCTCTGGATTCAGGTCATGGCTCTTCCATAGTTTCCTTTGCACCCTTGGGCAGCTGGTTTAAAAAATCATCTTTGTAACTATTGAGCGGGTCTGAATACCATACATTCTCCCCTGCAGGGAATGTATTCCTTGGTATTTAATTTTCAGCAAGATTCGAAAGTCTAGGTTCCTTAGCAATTTCAATCATCTCACTCTTCACCTTGCAGTGTTTCAGTCCTCTCACCTGATGATTTGCATTTCTTGATTTGTTGGATTATCATCATATTATTATTACTTGAGATCCCGGGGCAGCAGCTCTGTACCCCCCAAACGGCTTTGTCCATGCATACAGACTTTGTCATTATGTTTTTAGATATGAACACTGCTGTAATATCTACACTTGAGTCACAAAATCGAGAGCATTTGACACCTCCCATGACTAAGTGATGCTTTCTTGGGCGTTTTGCATGAAGATCACCGAGACAGTCCGGTGGATGAAGACTACAAGTGTTTGGCCATTTCAGTACTGATCTGATAGATCTACTTCCAGATGAGGGTTCCCAACTTCTCGGTTAAGGCCAAAATTATGATCTTCACCTTCTCTGTTCACTTAAAAAAACTTTTTTCTGTCCGGATGTGACAGAGCTTGATTAACTGGTAGTGTTAAACATGCCAGGTTGTTGGCACTGGAATAACACCTCTAAGACAGCTCTGCTCTTCTTTCTCTGCTTTCCAGGAAAGCCCATCTTAAATTTCAAGGCACACTGTAACAGCTACATCATGACTTCCTAAGGAAAAGGAGTTTCTTTGGTGGACTATGACACTGTTTAATGTACATGCTACCAAAGACAAAGATACACATTGTTTTCATACCAGGAAAATAATCTGAATAGACTAATACAGAATTAATATTTTACAGGAGCAAATGGGTATTTGCTGGTGCTTTGAATGCATCCATTTGTGGGACTTACTCCGCATCAGCAGTGGTCAGAGTAACCACTATTTACTAGGGGAGAGAGAAGGCTCGTGCTGCAGGCAGCTCCACATTTCTCATCGTAAGATGACATTTCTCATGCAGGATCTTTCCCCGTAAGATGGGATCTTGAGCTAGATCTTTCCTCACCGTGGCGCAGGGTGGACAAGACCTGCTTCTCTTTCCCATAATCCCTCTTCCTGCAATGCTTCTGGACTTAGAGGTCAGGGTGGTCTCTTAGAGAGAAACGATTCATTCTTGGCAAGAGCTCTATCCATTAGCAAAAGCTTCAAAAACATGGAAGCGTCCTTATGTTTCAGGTGCCCACTCTCAAAAGCAAACTTGGTGCTCTGAAACCCAAAGGGCCAGAAATGTCATGCCTGAAGATTAAGAAACAACTGCATTAAGTGTTTAAGTTGCTAGCACAGAGTTAGACATCCCAGGAATGGTGTTTTAGTAGCCAGCTTGCTCACTGTTGCCTGCACAAGGCAACAGTGAAGAGGTATCAACAAAAAGAGGGTACTCTCTGAAACTGAACTTATGAAATGGGTGTCCCTACAAAACTGTGATCTAGAGCCCTCCACCCCTTCACTCAAGTAAGCACCCGCCAAGCGCTATGGCTAAGCTAAGCGGGAAAACTATGCAAGTCATGGATGGCGACTGTCTGCCTTGTGGAGAACAACCCAGCGCACCTGCAGCTGGATAGCTACTAAGGGAAGGATCCTGCCCCACTACAACACCCACCACTTGGGAGATAAACCTCTGGCTAAGAGGTGTTCTGGAAAGGGCCCAGCCCGTGCCCCTTGCTGCTGTGGGGAACCCAGGAGCCAGGTGGGCAGAGACCCTGCGGGTACCGGGCAAAGGGCAGAGCAACCATGCACGCAGCACATGCAAACGCTCCCACTCCCCAGGGGCTAAACCCCAGCTCTGCTTCCTCAGCGGCTGCCTGAGCTAATAAATGTGTGCCTCACACATTTGTTGAAGAGGATTTCAGGGCTCTGGATGATGGAATGGAAGTACTCCACATACATACAGCCTCGAGGTCCCAACTAGTTCAGCCTCAACATCTCCCTGCTCAGCTCACCAGTGCTACAGCTCCTCCAACACAAGGCACCTGGTGTTTCTCCATCACCGAGCAGGAAGGATAGGTGCAGAGCTCAGCAGAGCACCCGTACCTCAGGGATTACAATACCCCTGAGGTCTAAACCTTGCCCCTTGCTTTATCAGCCTCTGGTAACAACTTGTACAAAATTCCACTTCGGTACACCGTAGCAAGTTTTTGGTTTGTTTTCTCCTGTTCTGTTTTGCTTGGTAGTTAAAAGTCTTAACTGAGAGAAGCGTATGTTAGGACCCATATAGGAACCTAAAGTAAAAGTAAAGCCTGGATGTGCAGGTGACAGGGACTTTTGCGGAACTTCAGTGCATGAACAGCAGTTCCTTAACTATCTTTTTTTCGCACAGGACCAAAATCAATGACAAACTTCGAAGCCTGCTCTAGCTCCCGGTTAGTACAGCCTACAGACGCAGGAGAAAGTCCAAACTTCTGCTCCTCAAAGCCCAGAGGGCTTTGCTGTGAATATGGCCTCATATATCATCTACCAGACAGCTGAGTGTTTTCCATGGTGTAATCTGCTTCTGTAAAGAAATGTAGGTGTCACACTTACCAGCAGCGTTTTGCTTGTGGGCCACAAAAAAAGTACTGAAATACCACTATTTGGGCATTTAAAATAAGAAGTAATTTCAAGAAAAAAGAAAACATGACCTTATGCCATGGATCACAGGACTATGATCTGACACAGGTCAGAGCTGTGAATTTTCAGGCTAACCTATTCAAGTATTAAACTTTTTTGCTAAAGCACTTGAATTATTTGTAACAAGACATGATAAATTCATCCAGTATGCCACTGCTTCTGAGAGAAAACAGGCATTAAAACATAGCCATATATCCTATTAACTAGCATATCTCCCTGTTTAGTAAGGAAATGTCATCACATTTGTTACAAAGGCAAACAGCAACATACCAAAAGAGGATCCAATTTTTCTAAATAAATAAATCAATGATGTGTCAAAAATTAACAGATGAGTTAATATACCCGATGTTATCAAAACCAGATGGTGCTTCATAATATTCATCCTGTTCAGTCAAACCCTGAATATATTCTGGACCATCAGTATATAAAATAGGATGCTGCTATTTGTGATGGCAAACAAAAGCAATCATGCCTGCCAAGCACATACTATAACAGGCAGCATTTCAGCTCTGCTAGACAGAAAGTAATTAGAATGCTTTTAATGTCCAAAAGAATGATGCTGATAGGCTGCCACAGATGTGTAGATTTATGAATATTTATATGGTGGTTTATAGCTGACACTTTTATCAGTTGAAGAAGATAAAATATCTGCCTGACTCAAAAGCTTGACAGTCAGGTTAATAAAATCTCATTAAAGAGAATGACCTATGCAATTATATAGGATTTATTGTAATTCATTTTTGATTGTACTCTGCTTAAAGATGCAATTTCCCATTTCCTGATGCCAAATTTAGGTTGCATATCAAGATCTACGTGGTTTTTAACTCCAAGCCATCACTAGAAGAAAGACAGGCGTTCAGCATCTCGGTATCTTACACCTTTAAAGGAAAAAAAAAAAAAAAAAAAAA